GGGGGCTCAGGGAGTCTCTGCAGGGGCCGCCGCCCGCCAGGCACATCTCGTGCAGCGCTCAGAGCCCATTTGGTAAAGGAGGCGGGTACAGAGGCTAAGGGACGCGCCCAAGGTCACCCAGCCCGGAGCCCAAGCCCAGGAATCGAGGGGGGAGGGTGGAAGCCAAGCCGTTAGTCCTCGGAGGCCCCTCAGCAGCAGCTGAGCAGGTGAGGGGTCCTCAGACCCCCGCCGACACCCCTCCAGGAGCCCCTGTAGAAAGGCTCGGCCGCCGGAGTGGTCGGAAACCCGGATGTGAAGCGGGTGCGACTTGTGGCAGGTGGAACCCTTTTCTCCAAGCGGGTGGGCCAGCCAGGGAGTGACCCAGGTTCTGCTGTAGGCGGGGAAGGGGTGGTCTGCCGAGTCTGCCTTTGAGGGTTGAAGCCAGACTCACCGGCCTCCTTTCTGAAAAGGGGCTCATTGCAAACAGATACACGTGCTCAGGAACCCAGGCAGCTGTGCACGCGGAGTGATCTCAGGCGGCTCCGATGCTGAAACACAGGTGAGTGCTGCCCTGTCTGGAGCTGCGGGGCCGGGGCCGGAGCCGGGGCCGGGGCCAGGGAGGGAGGAGGCAGAACGAGGCACTCGCCTGAAGGACAGCAGTGACAGGCTGGACTTCTGATGACACCTAAGCTTGGAGCTTCTGCCTTCAGAGGTGAGACGGTTCTGAGCTCAGTGGAGCACTGGGTGGCCATTTGGGACAGCTCGGTCCTCCAGGTGGAGACCCATTTCCCCAGTGATGGGAGGTGACCCAGGAGGCCAAGGCACCTTCGCTCCTGACATGTTTGCCCTCTTCCAGGAGCATCAGGCCTGTGCTGCTGCTGCTGGCTCAGCTGCCCAAGGCTCAGCACGGGCTCTCTCAGCACAAGGCCTCCACCCTCCTGAAGACTCCTGGAGGCGAGGCCCTCCATGTGAGGTGCCGGCTCTTGTCAAGGCAGGGCCCTGCAGAGACAGGCAGGCAGGGCCAGCCCCGGGGCCCTGGGCTGCGAACTAGGCTGCTGGTCACGGCCTTATTTGGGGCGGGGCTGGGTGGGGCCTGGCTGGCCGTGAGGGCAGAGAAGGAGCAGCAGCGGCAGCAGCGGCGGACAGAGGCCCTGCGCCAGGCCTCCGTGGGCCAGGGAGACTTTAGCCTGCTGGACCACCAGGGCCAGGCTCGCTGCAAAGCCGACTTCCGAGGCCAGTGGGTGCTGTTGTACTTTGGCTTCACTCACTGTCCCGACATCTGCCCTGACGAACTGGAGAAGCTGGTGCAGGTGGTGCGGCAGCTGGAGGCCCAGCCTGGCCTGCCCCTGGTGCAGCCCGTCTTCATCACTGTGGACCCCGCGCGGGACGATGTTGCTGCCATGGCCCGCTACGTGCAGGACTTCCATCCGCGGCTACTGGGCCTGACGGGCTCGGCTGAGCAGGTTGCCCAGGTCAGCCGCAGCTACCGTGTGTACTACAGTGCCGGCCCCAAGGACGCGGACCAGGACTACATCGTGGACCACTCCATCGCCATCTACCTGCTCAACCCCGACGGCCTCTTCACGGACTACTACGGCCGGGCCAGGTCGGCCGAGCAGATTGCAGACAGTGTGCGGCGCCATATGGCTGCCTTCCGCAGCGTCCTGCACTGACCTGGGTCATTAAAGGGTGTGGTGGAGCTGATGTGTGTCTGAGCCGTACCAGCTGCCCTGGGAGGCCACGGACGAGAGGAGCCCGGCACCTGGCTGTGGGCTGGGTGCTGGAGATGGGCAGCTACCTTCTCTACACAGGAGCCTTAAAGGGATGGGTGGAGTGGCAACACCATTTTATTAGGCTGGGCCAGCCAGGAAGCAGGTGTGAAGTGAGCAGGTGGTGTGCCCAACATCATGGGAGACAGGGCTGCCCACTCAGGGCTGAGCCATGGAGGGGGCGGTGTAGGTCTGGAAGCGCTTGTGGGCCCGCTGGTGTGTGAGCAGTCTTAGGGACATGGTGTCCACAGCCGCCTCCAGCCCTGGCTGCTGGGTGATCTCTACCGTGTGGTCATTGGCCTGTAAGGACAGGGTGTCAGCAGAGCCAGGGACCACTCCCCTCCCAGGCCCAGGGCCACTCACCAGTTGCAGAGAGGCCAGCATGGCGCGGCACACCTCGAAGGCAGGCTGGCCCGCCACCAGCTTCGCAAAGGGACACCACTGGTTGAGCTGACTGAACCTTGAGACCATCTGGTCCCCGTACAGGTGGATGTCAAAGGGCACGTGCTGCTCCTGCAGGAGGGAAGAGCAGGGTCCTGGTCAAACCCTGCCAGCATCGGGCTCCGTGCCCGAGCAGAAGCCGGCCCAGCCCGCTTACCTGCTCCTGGAGCAGGGGCTGGATGCTGTCCTCCCAGTCCCGGACACGCTGGCTCAGCTCCGTCTCCTGAACGAACTTCTGAGACGTGGTGATGAAGAGCTCCTAGGAGAGGACGGGAGCTGCTGCCTCTGTCAGAGCCATCACCCGGCTCCCCCCGACCCCCACCAGGGCCTACCACGTTCCTCCGGACCAGCTCCTCGTAGCTCAGGGATGCCGGCATGGCCTCTGCTTCTGGAAAGGAGGGCAGTGGAGGTGTGGGCCACACCCTGCCTCCCTTCACCCTTGAGGAGCCCCCTCATGAGGGCCTGGCCAGCAGCCCACTCCTAGACCTACCCATGTCTGCAGCGGCCTCAGGCTTTGCCCTGTCGGGCTCTGCGTATTCTTCAGGCTCCAGAAAGTCATCTGCTGGGAGGTGGGGTGGAACCAGCAGGAGGCAGGTCAGCAGGCAGCCTGTCCTGAGCCCTCTTCCTCCCGCCACCTGTGAGCACCCACCTGCTGCCCCCAGCTCCTCCAGGGAGTCCTCCAGGCGGTCCTCCTCCACAGGCCACAGCCCCTCCTCGGCCCTCGGCAGCCACCGCTTAGCTGCCTGTGCAGAGAATCTGTGAGCCACTGCTGTCTCCCACCACCCGGGGCTGTGAGGCCAGTGGCCAGTACTTGCCTCCCTCCTCTGCAGTTTCCGGAGTGTCTCCAGCTGCTCCCTCACGTGTTTCCAGTACAGAACCTCCATGTCTACACATAAAAGCCTCGTGAGGGGGTGCCCGCATCCAGCCTAGACCACCCTGGACCACCTAGGGCCTTGGGCATCCCCAGGCGGAAGGGAGGAGGGCAGAGCATGGTGCCATTATCCCTTAGGAGCACACAGGGCCCCAGTCACACCTGCAAAGGACGGGCCCTTTTTCCGGAGCCTCCTGCTATCAGCATGGTCAGCATCTGCAAGAGAGCTGGGTTGTCAGGAGCCAGACCAAGTCCCTTCCTGCCCCTCCTGCCCTGGACTGGCCCAGTCCCACACACCCACTCACAGGTGGCCAGGTACCACTGGTGGAAGTCCTGCAGCTTGGCGGCCCCCTTCCTCTTGCGCTTCTGTCCCGGAACCTCCTCCACGCAGGCGGGCACGGAGTAGGGTTTACCTGGGGGGCAAATGGACTGTGTCTCGGGCACCACTGCAGGCCCCGGGGAAGATCACCAACACCCCTGAGAGCCATCACACGAGGGAGCACAGCCCCACCAGGCTCTCCATGGGTACAGGGCACACCCCACCCACCACCTGTACCCCCATGAACCCAGCCACAGACAGTGGGTACAGCTGTCCCTCCACCCAATTACCTTTCTTGAAGGGCTTAGAGTCCAGGGAGCTGAAGGGGTCCAGGCTCTGCCAGGGGTCTGGGGTCTCCTAAGCACGGAGAACAAGTAGACTCAGGGAGAGTGGGGGACATACCCTTCCCCCAAGGCCAGCACTGAGGGCAATGACGGCCAGGGGACACTGGCCACGCGGAATCCAGGATCCAAGGGTGGAAGGGCCTCAGTCAGGTGGGAGTGAAGATGTGGGTAGTGAGGCCTTCGGCACACACCCTCCCTGCAAGTGGGGTCGGGTCGGGGCCCCACCACCTCACCTTCAGCTGGGACACAGGCTCCAGGGCCTCCCGCCTCTCCCTCAGCTCAAACCTCCTGGGCTGGGCAGTGCTCTGCAAAGAAATGGCCTCAGGGATGTCCCCTCCTGTGCTCTGGGGACAAATACTCTCCAGGAACCAGAGTATTTGAGCAGGAATTTCAAACAGTTCAAGGGCTAAAAGTAACATTGCTAGGAAAACTCCAGAGAACACAAACTAGTGAGCTAGTGGTCACGGGGAAAAACAAAACAGTAACATGGTAATATCCATGGAGCTACCAGCCAAAATGAACACTAACATGCTTCCTGTGTGAAGTTCGTGTTGTAAGGAAAAAAGGACGTCTTCGCTCTAGGGCCGGAGCACAGAGCCCACCCTTCGGGGCTGAGGGGACGGCCAAGGCCTCCAAGGTCCCCTTCCTGCCAGCCTGCCTTCGGGAGGCAGCTCCAGAGACCAGCTGCCATCTGTGGCTACAGGGGCACCACAGGCTCAGCCAGCCCTGAGGAGCAGCAGCTGCTCTGCAGGGAGAGGCAAGGGGCAAGGAAGCCGCTGCCCAAGAGCTGGTTTAGGATACGTGGGGCTGCCCAAACCCAGGGCTTGCCCGATGGACGACTCAAGCTTTGCAGGCCTCAGTGTGTGCCCCACCTGCTGTGGGCTCCTGGACTCCTGGGGCTCCAGGGGGACCTCAGGGAGCTCTGCCACCCCCTCTGCATCCTCATCCTCATCCCCACCTGCGGGCATCGGGCCTTCTGGAGACGTGCCTGGGCAGAGGAGCAAGAGACCCGTCAACCCCGAGGAGCCCGCAGACCAGACAGCAGGTGAGGGCTGCCCTCTGGGCCGAGCGGCCCTCCCCCGTCTCGGCTTCTTCATTCATCAGACCCAGGGACGCGCACGGTGTCTCACACTCGACGTGCTTGTGCCGTTGATTTCATTCTACTTCTGAGCTACTTTCCTCTCTAAATGTTGCCTCTGTGCCTGCCCAGAGGAATGGGCAAACAGGGCAGCGGGCTGAGTGGGGAACGAGGCCTGGGCACAAGGGCAGCTCCAAGGTCTCATGGCTCCCATGCCTCCCCAGCACAGGCAGAGAGGGGTGAGCAGGCTGCGTCCGTTGAGCAGAGTCCTGTCCCCACCCCCACTAGTCGGTCCACCCGCATGACCTCTTCTCACCTGACTCCTGGGAGATGCCGGGCACAGGGACCGGACTCCTGATCATAGAGACTTCCATTGGCTGCTCCTCAGCGCATCCAGCTGAGAGAGATGGCGTGAGACAGGTCAGCCCAGCCCCCGCCTCCCCCCAAGTCTCCCAGGGACTCAAGAGCCAGGGCTGGGGAGGGAGAGCAGGGCCCTGCACTGAGCAGCTGTGGGCAGACGGGGCAGCAGAGGGACCAGCTCCAGCAGGCCGGCCTGTGGGGCAGGTGGCTGGGGAGGGAGGATGTCCAGTAAGGAGCCCCAGACCCACACCTAGGCCCACACCCACGCCCTCACCCGTCCTGGGCAGCAGAGTCTCCCTGGGGGACAAGCCCACTGGCTCCAACATGAAGGCTCCTCGGGGGTGAGGGGTGCACGTGTTCATCCTAAAATCCTTCCGACTGGCCAGGACCTCCCCCTGACAGCTGTGCTGGCAAAAACACAGCCTCTGAGGAGACCATCCCCAGCAGCCGCCCTCCCCCACCAGGCCCAGGCCCGGCCCGAACCTGTACAAGGGGTGGCTGTTCTTGTCCATCTCATCCAGGGCTACCAGGGCCATGGGCAGGAGGGGGACGATGGCGACCTCCTGCACAGGGGCCGAGAGGGGGTGAGCGTGGGAACGAGAAGGGATGCCCACACTGTACAAGCAGCCCATCAGCTACGCTCACCCCACCTACGGGGCGGGCACTCACACAGGGGCCCTGCTCATTCCTCAGGTCCACGTTAGCACGGGTGTCAGGCAGGTCGTCCAGCGACAGGAACTGTGAGGAGACAGTGAGCTCAGCAGCAGCACTCAGCAGGCACCCAGCGGGCAGCAGCCAGGCACCCAGGAAACCTACCTCATCCTCCACCCGCTGGGAGGCCCTGGAGCTGGCGTCCCTGCTGGCCCCGTCTTCCTGCGCCGCGAGCTGCCTGGCCCTCCTGGGAGAGAAGCAACGCATGGGAGCTCGGAGGCTGCAGGGGCCTCCCCAGCCACACGCAGGGCACACGGGCCTCCACCTCCTGGCTCGCGCCTCCAGGACTCACCTCTTGCCAGAGATGAAATCGAGGGCCTGGTAGACCAGCGAGTAGAGGTATTCAACCTGGAGGCCGGAAGCAGGAGGTGAGGGCAGACATCGTGCACAGAGAAGCCGGCTGTCCCCCGCCCAAACCTCCGGCACAAGTCCTGCCAGTGTGGCCATCAGGAGCACTTCCCCAGTGACAGAACTGCTCTGACAGCCTCATGAGCCCCTCCCCCACCCTCAAGGCTGTGCATCCGCCATGCGCTCTGTGCACACCTGCCTGCGTGGTCCATTCCCTCCCGTGGCAAACGCCCACCTCCCACCTCCTGCCTCCACCAGTCTCTGGCACCTGACACCACTCAGCCACAACCCAAGGGGCCCCACCCTTAGGGTGAGGGTGGGGATTTGGAGATGCTGACCAGAACGCACCACCAGGGGGCGCGCATGCTGCGCGAGCCACATGCGGCTCTTTGGCCCCTTGAGTGTGGCTCTTCCACAAAATTCCACGTGCGGGCGCACACATACAGTGTGACTGAAACTTCGT